AACTCCAGCCGTTATGCATATGGCTGCAATAATATATGACTTCTTGCACGAATTTTCCCGATTTGATTATTTTCGCAATGCCTGTCTAGATGTTCATAGGCAACCCAGGTTTCACGTTCGATTGTTCTTTGCCCCTACGCCGTCATTAATCGTGTTAAACCAAATAAAGAACTGCGTGATGAAGCCTCCCCGCAGGGAGTCCCTAATTAACAAGACCAGAGAATCTATGCATTTTGTTCCACTCCAGTAATTTCTCATAAAGCAGAGGTGTTCCTTGCCGAAATGTTGCTTCTAACTCAAGTGGTTCTACAAATTATTGGCTCAATCGCAACGGTGGCTAATTTATTATTGATATATTTGATTCTACAACATTCTAGAAAAGAGATCGGTACGAAAAATTTGCGTTATCGATTTTTTTCAGCAAAATATCGCTATTTTTTGTTGGCATTCACGATTTGTGCTTTAGCATTTACTGTATTGGCACTGTTGCTATCACCTGTGAGTCAATGAAAACATGATAATCAGGCTTCAAAAATTGGCTATAAACTCTATATTAATGCATACCTTTAGCGATTTTCAATCTACAAAAATTCGTTCATATTTTTCCCGCCTGGATGGTTGGAAGACAGGCCGAACCTTGTGCATTGGCTCTATTCGATTTGGAATTCAAATCAGGGGGTAAAGAAGCCCCTCTGACCTTAACGTATCTGGTCATTAAGATGCTAATTTTCATCCTGGCTGTCCAATTTGTCTATCGCTACATAACACTTGTCAATAGCCCCTGGAAACGCTATTTTTATACTTGGCGGATCATATTTTTACTGAGGTAACGTTGGATACTCGCCTAATTACCCCAAAAATTACAGCCTGGCCACCATTAATGCGTCCATGTGGTTTTTAACGTTTTTCTTATCCTATTACCATATTTTGGCGCATAGGTTTTTTGGATTTCTCAGGATTTCTTAATTTTATCAGTCTTTAGTGAGTATTTTCATCGACTACGATCAGGTTTAAATCTTGCAGACGGGCTTACTCTATTAGGGAATTTATATATCGTAAGTGTTTTCATAACGCCATGTTCCTCGTAATAGACGTATGCGGAAAATGGGGTAGAAATCTATTATGCCGCTGCTCTCGTCGCCAGTGCATATATCATCGTATTTATCATGATCTCCACTTTCATCATGGCCTATTGTACTTATTTGTATGATTTCTAAAGTGTATTGTAATTAAGGTTTTAGAATTTATAAGGTCCTGAAAAGATCCTACCAATCTGTCAGCCCTAAAACAAAACGTTTACAAAAGGATCTGTTTCAAGCGTTGTTGATGCAAGTAGGTTCTGGGTGGTTTTCCTCCAAGCTGTGTTAAAGGGCACGTTCAGGAAAATTTTTTTGAAAAAAAACAAAGACTTTTGTCGCCGCCGGGGGTCGAACCAGGGCCCCCCGCTCGGGAGGCGCGGATGCATACCAGTCAGCCACAGCTACAACAGGGCGGGGGATGAGGTCCCTACGTCCATAGGGCGTACACGTTGGGACGAGTACACGGCCCTCCTTGAACGTGCGCTTTAAAGGGGCTCCGAAATCTGGTGCACGGCGTAATCCCGGCGTAATCCTGGCAAATAGCCAGATGCGACCGCCCCGCATGATCTTTTGCCGCTGTTTGGATGTGAAAGCGCTTGAATTTAAAAATTCTGTCGCTATTTTTGGAATCCTCACCAAATTTTGATCCTTCGAAGCGTTTAAATTATGAAAGCTGGTCAGAGAAACGCCGAGATCGGGGGGTTGGGTGCCCTACTCTGCATTACGACATGTAATAGCCGCGCACTCAAAATGTCGTTTTTCTCCCGAGAATATTGCGGTTTTTACTAAATTATTTTACGTTTTTTCGCAACAAAATAAATTTTTTCGGGCTTGGGCAGTTCCCCTTTCGGTTTTTGACCCGTAGGTTCAATCCTCCTACGCACCATTTTTGACTTCCGAGCCCCTTGAAGTTGGTGCCGGGTATCTTTTTGGCTGTTTGGCGGTATCCGTTTTTTATTTTGGTGGTGATATCCTGAGCCCTAATGCAAAGTTACTATGTATCTCATAAAATTTAAGCTGCTTCAAAACATTTACGAGTTTTGGGTTTAGGGTACCCTATCCTTCCTATTCGAAGGTTTTCCATGTATCGCAACCCATGTCGCTGCTATCACAGGGCTATATGTTGCTCCAGAATTACGGGATATTGGTATAAAATCATCAAAATTGCCTGAAATTATCTATTTTCTCCAGCCGTCATCTTCCCTTCGCTTTACCCAGCCCTTGAACCCTTTTCAGTTATGTACTTCATCCGCGACTATCGTGTCGTCATCTCGAAATGGCTACGGTACTTTAAGCGCATAGTAATACTCTTATTTTTTAGCATGGAGAGGCATCATACACTGGCCACAACTCAACAAACACCCTCAAAATGCTGCATCTGGAAAATATTCACCCCGCCAAGCACAACGCTACAAAGATTGCAGATTTAGAGGGACCATTTAGCCAGCATCGTATAAATTCTACGCAAAAACGATTAAAAAAGATCGACATTTGCTGAACTGATTGATTGTGGCGAGGGCGCCGTTGCAAGGGCTTTCGAATGGTGGAACTTTCATTCCGATCCGATACTTCTGCGTCGAGGTAGAAGGGGGTGTTTTTATTGGGAAACCAGGTATGTGGTTTTTTTGAGTATTAAGGTCTACCCAACAACTCCGCTAAACACTAATCCCGAAATTCGCCATCGCAAAGAAATAATCCCGGTCCAGTGAACGATCAGACAGCCGCCAGTCTTTCTTGTAGTTTTTTAGCCGCAGCGAGGTCAGGTCGGAAGATGAAAGCGAAACCCCAAAAAACAGCCCTGAAGTAGACTTTAAACCTATGCCCCTTTTTCACATGTATTGTCACTGAAGGTTGCAACGTAGCTTTAACCCACGTGTCATCTAGGAATCCATTGATCGTCGGCTAGCACGAAATATCAGAAAAGTAATAAACCTGAAAATTCCAGGAAAATGGTCAACTGCGATGCTCTTTTCCGAAATTTCGATGGTGATTTTCGAAATGGTGATTTTCGAAATGGTGATTTTCGAAATGGTGTCTTTTCGAAATGGTGTCTTTTCGAAATGGTGACTTTCGAAACGATGTCTTTCGAAATCGTGATTTTTCGAAATGGTGATTTTCGAAATGGTGATTTTCGAAATGGTGATTTTCGAAATCGTGACCGCGATGCTGTAATTTCGCCTGGGCCGTTGTTAGCCATTCATAAAATGCAAATAATTTTCGAATTCGTGGAAAAACGACAGAAAAATTTAGAAAGACGCACGTAGCGATAGGCAATGTCCAAAAAGACGATTCCCAAAGTACAAAATGTACCTATAGCAAATCGCCGGTTTTCAACATCCGAAAACTATGCTTTCAACTTCCATTCGTGTTTTTCTTTTGAGATATCCTTCCGTGCCGCTTCCCATCGTTTTTCGGTAACAAAGCCCGCTTTGAATCAATTGTTATTTTCCCAAATATGCATGCCGACTCTGTTATCTCACGCGCTCGTGGGTTTATCCTTCGAACCAGACGGCTGGCCTTTCTTTATTGGCTAGTAGACGTCCTTCCTCATTTAAAATCTAGGCGCGCATTCGTTCACTTTCTTTCGCTTTCTCTCTCTCTCTCTCTCTCTCTCTCTCTCTTCGCTTGCGAATCTTCCCCCATGCTAAGTAATAATTTTAAAAACTATTGCTTTCCAGATGGGCGCCCTCGAAGCGAAACTCATCCAATCTTTCAGTTTTATAGCAATTCTTACAAACATTCTATTAGCATACCTGATAATCTCGCGTTCCCGAAAGGAAATGGGTAACTCCTCAACTTTTTAATAATTTTTTTTTCTGGTTTAAGGCAATTACCGATACCTCATATTAGCTTTCACGCTCGTTGGTCTCCACTTCACGCTCCTAAACTTGATCCTGGTCCCGGTAAGTTTTGCTTAAGATGCTTAGATCTAAGGCTAACCCTTAAGTTTGTCGACATCTACAAGCACGCGTTCGTCTTCTACCCGGTCGGCGAGCTACGCGAATGGCCGAACCTGATGCAATACGCCTTTTCCTATTGGCATGCTAATTATGGGGTAAAAATGGCCTACATGGCTGTCAGACAACAGAAAAATTCGATGTTTTAGTCGGTAGCCTTCATCCTCGTCCTACAATTTGCATATCGCTATGGGAGCCTGGTGAATCAAAAGTTATTGCGCTACTTTTGTTTGCCCAAGATTGGATATGTTTTGGGGTAAGTATCATCATACCTCAAAATCTAGAGTGCCAATTTCAGCCTAGGTCTCCTTAATGCATCGATATGGTTTATGGTATTTTTCCTATCCCGTTATCACTTGGAAGATCAAAAGTGGGCGTGGCATATCGTTTTCAAGTATACCGATTCAATTCAGAGAATACCTGCGCGATAGGGTTATGGAAGTTTCCGGGTTTCCGGTAGATGGGCTGTTAATGGTCGGGAATCTCTACGTGGTATCGACACAAAATCAGCATAAAAATTTTTAGGTGATCAACGATCGCGGTGAAGAAGTGTATTACCTTCCTGCTGTTATATTGGGATTTTTACCCGTAGCCCTGCTCATTTCGGCTCTTATTTTAATGGTATACTTCACTTATAAGTAAGGTTTATGCTATTATACAAATACTGCTCGAAAAGCAAAGTTTGCCTTGGCCAATCCTCCCAAAATTTTTAGTCATACTTTTCCAGAATCCAACGAGCTCTGAACGCCTCCGCAATGAGCGTGCGCACGAAAAAAAATGCAGCGCGAACTTTTTGTCGCGCTTGTTATACAAGTAAGACAATGTTTAGATCTTACTTAGTATAGGCTTAGGCATTACTTTGGCTTAGGCTGAGGCATAAGCTTAGGCTTAGGCTTAGGCTTGGGCTAAGGCTTAGGCTTAGACACAGGCTTAGGCTTAGGCTTAATCCTGGGCTTAGGCTTCGCTTTCTTTAACTCCAAGCTAGTCTAATTTTCCCAACGAACTTTCTTCCAGGCCTCCTTCCCAGCCGTCCTTGAATTCGGCCCGTGTATCCTCACAAACATCGTCACTTTCCTTGCCCTCCCAATCCCCACGGAATCCAATGAAATTAGTAAACGCTATGGGCCCCCAAAAAATCAAAAGTTCAGGTATCATCTGCCATGCCTTCTACGCCGCCGTCGACCCTTTGGCCTCAGTATTTTTCATTAAAGAGTATCGCTATGCGTTGATGAGGATGGTCGGGTAAGCTTTCTGGGAGTAAGATTTGAGCTTTCGCTGATGAATCTTTTTATTGCCAAACAAAATGTTGATTGCTTATTGTTTTCAGGCTGAGTCGGTTTATCCCGAGAAGTCTGAGCAGAAACTCCCAATCTCAGATAAATTCAGGTATTTCGCAAATGCTCTTTTTAACCTTTACATTTAGTAGACGTTAACTCTACAATGATCCGAAATTAATTACGAAAAAGTTTCGATGGCTGGCTATGTTTCAAAGAAATTTTCGGATGATTTTTATGATTTAAGTGACCATAAAACGATTTGTCGTGTTTTTTACCGCATTCTGATCATTTTCAACAACCTAATACGATAGTTTGAATTTTGTCATAATTGAGCGTCAAAACTCAATCCAACTCGTCGTAAACATAATGAAATTCCAAAGGTCCGTGTGACCATCTTCGAAATAGCAGTGTGCCATTCAGTAGTGCGTCTTCATCTCGTCGGCCCGAGCGGAAAAGCTATTGTCGAAATCTTGGTTGAATACATTCGATTCCGGGGGGTACTGCTGAAAAGGGCGTTAGACATCACTGATCGCCAACCACTACCAAATTATTTTAAGCACCGCCCGCCGGTAGTCCTTGATAAAATATATAATTAGCAGCGGGTCGAGCGCCAGGTCGATGAGCACGATCATGCCGCCTGTGAAAAATGTGACTTTGCAGCAAGAAAAGCAAGCTATAGCCAGCCTACCTGGGAGCTCCAAAAACAATCCCAGGTCCTCCATCCCATCCTGTGGCCGGTGCGATTTCCTGATTTTCAAGATTGTTTTTCGAACTCTGGTGGTTTTTTTTTCTTGAAAATCCACGCCAAAGCCATTACGGACCTCAATTGCAAGAATTCGAAGCGGAAAAATTCACATGGAATGTTTTTTGGCAAGGCTTCCCGGAAGCGTTATGGCTAAAGATTGAAGGCAAGCGCGTTCTAAAGCTTAGAAAATTGGCCTGGGCTTAAAAAGAAAACCAGCCATTTTCATAAATTACTATTAAGATAAGCGTTGGCGGTCGTCCACGGTTTTTAAGTCAAGAATCCCCTAGGGCCTAAGGAGATGCCTTGAAAATAGCCTAATCAGGCCCTGATTCCGGTGAAATCCATTTCGTAGCCAAACAAACTTTCGCTTGGTTCATTTGCGCATTTAATCCGTCTTTTCCAAACCGATGGGTGCCCTCGTCCAACTATTCGTGATGAGCGCCAGCTTCTCGGCGTTGCTCTGGAACCCGACGTTAATGTGGCTGATTCTGAGGCATTCGCGCCCGGAATTTGGTGAGTATTCAATTATATTAAATTCTGATAAGATTTATGAAAAATATACCAAATTGCCTAGGTGCCTACCGGTATCTGATGCTTGTCTTTACGATTTGCAGTGTTATTTTCACGGTTATTAACATGATCGTCCAACCGGTACGTTCTTAATTTTACCTACATCCGTTCTTATTTACTTTCTCGAACCATTCTCTAGGCTCTTAAATCCTGTTCAAAAGCCCGGAAGTCGATACCCGTGAAGTAAATACGAACTTTTAGAACTACATTCTCTACAGAAAGACGATGGTCTTTTTCCCGGTCGGCGGCCTCGTGAATTGGCCAGAAACTGCCCGATTGTTTTATTCGCTTTGGCATGCAAATTACGGCGTAATCGGTTAAATTCGCAAAGCAACAAACTTTCTAGACGATACTAACCCTTTCCCTACAATTTGTTTATCGGTATTCGGCCGTTATCAGGTAGTTTAAGATATAAAATATTCGATCCCATTTAGACCACGGCTTCTTGAATTCTTCTCCACCTGGAAGGTCGTCTTTGTTTTTGGGTATGTAAAAGCTGGCATTGCAAAAGACGATCCATCTAGGGCCGGGATCTTCAATGCTTCTATCTGGTTTTTGGCATTTTTCCTCTCTGCACCATTAATGCGTGAACACAACCGGGTGTTGAGAGGTATTGTATCGGAAAACGAGACGTAGGGAATATCTACGTCAAAAGATTTGGGATGTCTCCCATGTTTCTGTCGATAACCTGGCGATGATTGGGTTTATGTATGCGGTAATTTTTGAGCGTCGCTATTTCTCTCTCTCTCTCTCTCTCTCTCTCTCTCTCTCTCTCTCTCTTTTACTTTCTGTTTCAAAAGTCCATTCTCCAGACCGAAGACGCTAACGGAAAAGATACCTACTACCCGATGGCCCTTGTCTCCGGTGCCGCTGTGCTCACCATGTTTTTCAGCGCCTTGGGACTAATGACGTTTTGCATACAAGCGTTTGTCGGATGCCTTAAGGTCTCTACTTTACAGCTTAGCATCTACAAGGCACTCAAAACTGCCGAGAACTTCGGCGCCAAGACTAAACGGATGCAGAGGGACCTCTTTAGAGCCCTTATGATTCAGGTAAACAACTTTAAAAGCTTTTAAACGATGCAAATGTACTTTAGGCGTCAGTTCCGTCATTTTTTGAATTTTTGCCATGCGTTGCCTCACACGCCGTATCTTTCTTTGGAATCCCGATCGACGCTGGAAGCTTGGAAATTAGTAACGTTCCTCTAAAATGCTAAAATCATTAATCTGTTAGCGATTTGTTTCTTGGCCCTCTATCCAGCGATGGATCCACTGACTGTCATTTACTTTATCAAAGACTATGGCTTCGCTTGGTTGCGAGTTATCGGGTATGTAACGTATGTTGTCTACATTTTTTTCTCTAGACTCGAGCGAATGACTACAAAGCATATCTACACGATGCATTCTGAGGCTTCAGGCGCGGCTGGTCGCGGTATCTTATGAAGTATTGGATATAGCAATAAGATTTTCAGCGGCCCCGCCATCGTCGGGAAAATGAGTGATGCTGCGCTACGGAAAACGTGCTGAATGCTATTGATTTATCTGCTCCATACACTGATTTTTCGTTACTCACAAGCGCTGACAATTCAATTAAGATCGAGAAATATCGGTGTAAAAATTACAGGGTCTGGGAAAACAGGCTCCGCAAAGCGCCCGATGCCCATTCCTTAGAATTCGGCGTACCCTAAAAATGTTGTTGGTCTCGATAGTAGTGATAATAACGTCGATGCGCTCGCAAAATCCCAACGAAAAAAAGATACGGAATTTTTTGGTCAACTATGTTGCTGTGTCCGTGCGTTCATAAACTTTTTTGGTTCTGTTCTATTTCGCGGGGGGGGGGAACTGTGCGGGGGGAAAATATGCTTCGCCAAAACTTCTATCTTTTCGCTATTTTCTCGGGCTTTTTGCAACGCCATTCGATAGAGCATCAAAAAATATACTAAGAGTTTTTGTTTTAGCTAAGAATATTGTAGTATAAAAAGGTTATAGCAAAAACAAAAAAAAAACTATTGAAACTGGTGCCGAAATATTGGTTTTCGGCATTTTCGTCCGTTTTTCGATATTTTGAACCCGTCATTCGATAGAGCATCAAAAAATATACTAACATTCGGTGTTTGCACATGGGATCGTGGAGTCGAAAGCTAGTTTTCGACATTTTCGATATTTTTTAAAACCTCCTTTTATGCCATTCGATAGAGCGTCAAAAATTATACTAAGAGTTTTAATTACAACTGAAAATAGCAAAATACAAAAGAGTTATAACAAACCGAAGAAAATTTTCCCCCGCACAGTTCCCCCGCGAAATTTTTTGTATGCACATTATTTGCCTCCTCTGTACCCTACCCTTGTGTGTACCTGCTCAACTCGACTCAATGTTTCAAAATTTACTAGCGGAACTCGTCCCTTATCACACACCAGAAACGAAATCGACTGCGCGAGGGGAAGGGATGTCTTTAGAAAACGTGAGGAGCTTTGGTATTTTCGCAGGAAAATTGGTTGTTGCATCCGGGCTAGGCGTCGACTAGAATTTTTGCTTTCGGCGGGGGCGAAATCGGAACCAAAATGATACACAGGGGGAATCACATAGAATCACTTTCTGGACTATCAGGGGGGAAATAAAGACATTTGTTGGAAAATTACAATACAGTACATCATCAAAAAAAAAACATACATGGCGAGACCATTGAACAGCCGGAAGGGTTGGTTATGAGGAAGTGGAAAAGAGGGGTGGAAATCAATTGAATTCTTTAAAAAATACGATAAAAATTCAAAAGTATAGCACAGGGATGGCCGGGTTTGGTTATAGCACTGTATACGGTAGAAAGAGTGCGTTTTAAAGGAATGGTGAAGGTTGCGGAAAACACGCCAAATGTTTAGAGAAGCCAAAAATCACTTGGAAAGACCTGTAAAAAGTTGTTGAGGTTTTTAGACAATACCGATTTCTTCAAATTTTGGTTTCTGCCGCTTCACCAACCCTTTAAAATCACAGCTCTTTCGTTTAACTGAAAAATTATGATTTCGAACTATGAGAAAAACATGATCACGATACTTTTTTTGTTACGACTAGAATCCATATTTGGAGGGGTGGGGTATGGTTTTCGGGCTTTATAATGGCAAGGGCGAAACGAGGGCTCAAAAATGATTGGAGAACGCGCAACGTAGAATTCTGCAAAAAGATATGTGTGTAGGTGGGTGGCGAAAAATGTGTAGTTTAAAAAACAGGTGTTAATTCTGGTTCATCGACATCCGCTGCAATTCTCGGGAAAGGGTCTGCCACTGCAGCTCGCTGGTGTTGATGCCCTGGATGGCCGTCAGGGTGGGCCAGTGCTTTTTGTGGATGGCGATCACCTGAAATTTGCATATTAAGCGGTTTCAAGTCGAATAATATTAATTGATCTTTAAGATCTCTCTCGATCTCACTCTCGCTCACTCTCTATCTCCTCTCTCTCTCTCACTCTCTCTCTCTCTCTCTTTCTCTCCCTCGCTACCTCTCAATCAGTCACTCTCTTCCTCTCTCGTTGGCTCTGTCTTTTTCTCCTGTCTGCTATCGTCAGAGAGAGAGGATGCGAGAAAGTAATAGAAAGAGAAATAGAGGGAGAGAGAGAGAAAGAGAGAAAGAGCGAGAGAGCGAGAAAAGCTAAAATCTGAATAACCGCAAAAAGATGTAGACATCGAAATATGTCAAAAATTAAGGACAATTCAGCAGGTTTCTTGCGGATTTTCTCACTATTCATTTTCCTCAAATTTTTTTGAGCACCAACCTTCTGTATCGTCTCCTGAGCCGCCATACACGGGATGCCCTCCAGCGCATCGGCACTCAACCGACCAGCGTCCTCATCGGCTCCGCAAAGCACCTATGGATGGCATTAGCACTCCTCGTACTCGGCTCGGTTTACCTTCACGCAATGCTCAACAGCATCCGAAATCGCTGACAATTCATAGCCGCCCTCAAGCGCGAGAACGACACGGCCCTCGGCGTACTGGAGCAGTTGTCGGGTCATGAAGCCGAACATTGGGGCGGAGACCTCGTAACTGAAACGGATTCATAGGGTTTTTTCCTAGTTGTAAATTCCTAAATATTTAATAGTAATGGAGTGCCTACCCTCCAAGTGCATTGGCATGTCCTGTACAAGCGTCAAATCCGGCAGATACCATGATGAATGTCGGGTCATAGTGCTCGAGAACTGGGGCGACAATGACACGCCAAGCCGCCAGATAATCAGCATCTCGCATGACATCACCGGAGAATGGGATGTTGACAGTGAAGCCCTGAAAAAAAAAGTTGAAGTTAAAAGTAAGGGCCGCCTACCTTTCCAGCACCACTTCCGACTTCCGTAACAGCACCGGTTCCAGGGAAGAAGTTTCCGTTGTCATGTCGGTGGAGAGACAAATAGAGAACCGTTGGGTCATTCTCAAAGCATAGCTGGGTTCCGTTACCATGATGGACGTCCTTAAAAAAATTATCAAGTAGAAAAAATAAGATCTTCCTACCCAATCAATAATAGCAATCCTCTTCGCCTTTTCCGGATACTTTTGCTGTAACTGTCGGACTGCAACGGCCACATTGTTGAAGAAACAGAAGCCCATCGCCAGGTCCTTCTCCGCATGGTGTCCTGGGGGTCGAATACACGCGAACCCGTTTCGTATTTTCCCTTCGGCCACCTGAAGGTTATTTTTGTGACCTTAACTAATATGATGAAATTGGCCCCGTCTAACTTGATGAAATTCTTCGCTCTGCATACGTCTCTCGAATTCCTATGGGGGAAAAATGAGGAATTCCACTCTCTCACGTTATATATAGGCTTCCGCCACTTCCGGCATATGCTAATTATTTCCTAACAAAGAAGGCTGCCGGATTTTTCAACAAAAACTCAATTTTAATATCGAAAATCGCAAATTTGTAAAATCAGATATGCGTGCAGTCATCTCGGGGACGTTACGCACCTAATGACGTATCATACGTAGCCTAACGCCCTTCCCCTCTTGAGATATCCTCCGGACACGGTGACGGAAGTTGCATTCAAATGCACACACACACACACAGGAACTATTTTTTTTATATATAGTAGGATAATATACCATTTAGCTATCATATTCATTGCCAGTTATCCGGCATTTGACCCATTGACGGTCACCTATTTCATCAAGGATTATCGCTATGCTTTGATGAGGAAACTGGGGTGCGTTTTTGGAGTGAATTCTCTTTTCGTTAATTCTTTAGCGGGCGATTTGTTTTGTGTCTCTCTAGCAGCGACTCGGAAACCTTCGGAAAATTTTATAACGCCATAAAAAAATTTTAGACTTGGTTATATGACTCCGGCAAGCGCCTACACTACAGCTGTTTCCGAGACTTCAAGGGCCAGGAGCAAAGGTAGCATATATCTCGTCATAATAACCTATAAAAAAGAAGGAAGGCTGCCGGATTTTTCAACAAAAACTCAATTTTAATATCGAAAATAGCAAATTTGTAAAATCAGATATGCGTGCAGTCATCTCGGGGACGTTACGCACCTAATGACGTATCATACGTAGCCTAACGCCCTTCCCCTCTTGAGATATCCTCCGGACACGGTGACGGAAGTTGCATTCAAATGCACACACACACACACACAGGAACTATTTTTTTATATATAGTAGGATACCTGTGCCGATAACTCGATTAACGACCCGGCCGCTGTCCTCGCTGCACTCTGCGTGCTTGCATCATTAAAATAGGTATCAGAGTCGACTCCTATCCCGCCGCAGGGTAGCTGAAAATACAAATTTGGCCTGATTTACCATTTTAACGTCAAGTTCAAGACGTTCAACTATTGGAAAAGGACTTACCTGCACGAAATTCCGCAATGGTAATTCGCTTGGCTCCATCTTGAGGCAAGCCGTCGGGGATACGGCGAAGAATTGGACGTAAATTGACGAGTGGACGGATCGTAAGGCTTCCAAGGACGCTTTCTTGGTTGGTACCCGTTCACATCTGAAATTTTCTGACTGCTTATTGTTAGATCTACTGTTTTCTAGCTGCTTAGGTATATATGGGTACCTTACTCGACCACTCTGGGCTATCTTAGCCTACCTTTGCACCAATCCAACAGCCTGTAATCGCTCCCAAATCGATGTCACCCTTCCGCCGTGTTCCACGTGTGATCCGCTTTGCCCGCAGACGCATTCGTGCCGCGACATGTTACCATCGTAGGCAAGACCTAGATAAAGTTTGAGATACCTAGCTTCTCCTCTTACCGGTGGTAGGCTGTGAATCCCCTTCCGTTAGAACTTCCATCGAAGAAGCTTTTTCGACAGCACTAGTGGACTGCTCTTCCATAGGGATCACTTCTTCCGGTTCTTCTCGAACGAGGGATTTCCGCCTGAAAAAACTAGGCGTTAAAAATGTTGTTTTTTACATACCGTAAAACCAGCTCTCGTAGCTGCTGTTTCAGCAGGCTGGGGTATCCGCCAATCGGTAGTTGGGCGTTTGATAATGAAGCCAAGGCGGCGGCGCGTGGATCGAGACGGGTACGGTCTAGAAATTTTAAGTTTATAAAAAGCTTCTTGAGGGTTTCGCTGCTTTAATGTATAGTTTCACATAAACGTACCGATCTCCTCCTGCTGCCCGCCAATGCCCATCTGCCCCGACATTGCCAGCTGGGTCTTCAAAAGTGACGGCAACGACAGGAAGCTGTTCAGCTGGGCAGCCTGGGCCAGAAGCGATGTCAGATCGAGACCGCCTAACCCGGCCATATTCTGAAAATTGTATTCAGATACGAAATATAAATTTTTTCACAATTCCGAAAAATACCCATATTATCTATCCGCTAAACATGCAAGCCCATATTTAAAAAAATCCTCCAAATACCATATCTAATCCAGACAATTGGATCGTAAAACTTGTTTCTATTGTCATGGTTGAGTTGGAAATTGTGAATCTTGTTAAGGCTTCGATACTCTGAAAGCTTTTTAATAGATAGTATACCCGGGTTTCAAACCTCGTTAAAAGACGCTAATTCGTGCATTTTTGGCATTTTTATTTTTATTTTCCCCCATAAAGCTGATGTTTGGCATTTTTTTCCAACACCTCAAATGATTATGTGATTTTCCATTTTTTCCAAATACCGGAAGGATTCCAGCCATGTGACTGAGCATCCATTTGTTGCGCCAAAAACCCACTGAGTCCCCAGAATCCGGGCACGGATCTCCTGCGGAAATGCGGGGCCAAAAACCAGATACAACGAGGCTAGAAATAGCCGGAAACTCCCGAGCGGATAATCCGTGCCGAATCCGGACACCAGTCGCCTCTGCCCCACCCGGCAATCAGTTAAATTGAATTTTTGTTTTTGACGCAAGAAAAAGCTGCTAAGGAGCGCTAAAAATCACACGATAATCCATACTAGATTCGGGAGGGACGGGCTGGGGACGATCATGTGGGGGACGAAGGCTTGGCCGAGGTTGTGGAGACCATCTTCGAGTTTGGGTAGGGCGGATCCGAGATCGCTGTCGGCTCTGAAACATGGTGGGTTTTAACGAGTTTAACTGACTATAACGGGTTTAACTCGATATTTTAGACTTATCAATCCGATGCTGGGATATCAGGCTAATAGGATGCAAAGCGAAAGGACACCAAATTTATACAGGAAACATTTAGCTTTTGGAAGTTTTTAGTTTTCTTCCTAGCAGTACGTCAAAATTCATTTTGTCGAAATCTTATTTACCGAAATTTCACTTTGTCGAAATTTCGTTCTGTCAAAATTCAAATGCAATGAATTTCAGTCAGGTTTGAGATGCATAATCGAGGCGAAAAAGCGACAAATAAACATTTTCGACAAATTGAATTTTTGATAAATTATATTCCGACCAAAATGTAATTTCGAGAAAATGAAATTTTGTTTTCGAAGAAATAAAAATAAGCCATCCCTAGCCTTAAGAAATCATGGGTTCCACTAGTCTTAGTCGACAGTATTTTTTCTGAGCAATTTCAATTAAAATCCAAACCTTGTCAACGACCCCTGCCCGGGCGAGTTATTATGCTGAATCGGGCTCGAACCCTTGCTGAGGATCTTCGACCGGATGCGCATCTTCAGGTTCGGCTCCGAGTTGACCTTGCGGAGGGCGTACTCGGCGGAGGAGCTCTGGTGCGCGCTCTGCACCGGGTAGGGCTCGAAGTGAGGTGAGGCGACGTTGGACTGAAAATCATATCTTGACGGTTTTTGGTACTATCCATACCTTTCCAACTTGCGGGCTCATCGGGGCTTGCTGATTAATTGAAGATGATGACCAATTCTGGACCGGGCCGCTGCCTTGCGGGCTGTTCAACAAGTTCGGCTAAAAAGGAGAAATTTTTTAAGAGTTTACAGTGGTTTTTGACGGTTTTATAATTGTTAATATTACCTGACTATCCCCCGATCGTCGATTTGCAATCATATTTTTCAAACGATCTTTGGTATGTTGTGAAATTGTCTGCGAGCCGCCAAGAGCATTGTGCCGGATTTCGGTGAAGCGTCTGAAAACGTGGATTTAAAGTTTAAATTTGGTATATTTTTAAGTGCACTTAAAGTATCCATCAATGAAAATAGTAAAATACGAAATCAATACCCACTTCTTTTGCGACTTCGAATGCGCGGCCAACGGATTTTCCTTGGACTCCTTGGTGTTGGTGGGGGTCTGGGGAACAGATTGAGACCCAGGACTGCCAAGGAGCGACGACATCGACGAGGTCAGATGGATGGGCACTAAAAATTTGATGTGAACGTTTTTTGCTATTTTTAGCTGCCATTTGATTTTTATGCCTCCAAAATCCTTACTTGCCGGCCCATCCGACTCATCCATTTGCTCCGGCTGCGTGGCGGCCATGTTCTGCTGCTGCTGTTGCAGGGCATTGGCAAGGATTTGCTAAATTCGGTTTAATGATAGAAATTATTACTATTTATTATTGCGAAAATTTATATAATTTAATTTGGGTTTTCGAACCTGATAATACGCCTGCAGCTGCTGGTTCAAAATGTTCTTCTTCGCCTGCTCGTAGCTGTTCATCAGGTCCTGCTGCTTTTGCTGGTAGAGCTGAAAAACGTCGAGGTAATTTTTGACAATTTTTGCAAAGGAGGTCAGTAGCATTTTGCAGTCATTTAATGCCCCCCCCCCTGTGATTGGGGGTAATTAGGGCCCCCAGGATGCGGATTCTAAAAAACAGGACCCGACTACCGAGAACAGGTGAAATTTGCAGGCTTGCAG